ATCCCTGGAGCAGTCCGAGAAGGAATGCGGAAGGAGATACAGGAGATGACTAGGCTTGGAGTCATCGAACACTCGGACAGCCCTTGGGCCTCGCCTGTGGTCCTAGTGCCTAAGAAAGATGGGACCACTCGGTTCTGTGTGGACTGCAGGCGGCTCAATGAGAGGACCACCACTGACGCCTACCCGATGCCCTGGGTAGACGAGTTATTAGGGGACGCTATCTGACCACCATAGACCTGTGTAAGGGCTTGTGACGAGACCAATCTCGCCACATTGCATTGGAGAAGCCTGGTTGCTCGCCTGCTGCCTTTGGACTATGGCCCCCTGTTAAAAGACATCTTTTTACCTGCAGAAAAGATTTATTTGTTCTTTTCTGCCTGGTGTTCGGTAGATTCAATCTACCGAACAACCGCACGAATGACTGGACCACCTGGGAGCTGGAGTGTGCCGGCAATTAGCCTCCCTGAAGCTGCGGTTAACCGCAGCTTAATTGACGAATGCTGGGTGGCCGCCATTCGTATCACGAACACGAGGTCGCTGCCATTTTAAACATGCGAATGCACAGCGGTGTTCGACGCTTAATTCATGGAACTGAAATCGGACACAGTTTTGCGCGAACACCGCTGAAGCCGCCGACCTCCCTTCTTGTTCGGTGGAAGTGCACGAACGGCCCGGTGTTCAGTAGTTTTGGTTGAATGTGTTATACCCCAGATAGGAATCCCATGGAGCCCATTCGTATGAAACTGACTGTAAAGACTTTGGCTCCATGGCGATTAAACTGTATTCGTGTGGTCTGAGCGCCATTCGCTTAATAATGTGCACTCAGACCTGAGCTATCTGGGGATATGTTACATGTCTGTGTTTTATGTAATAAATGCTACTTTATGTATTTTAAAGTATAATACTGGTTTTGTATCCCCACATGTGTAATGGAGTTTTGCCTTTGTCTTGGGAGATAATTTAATTACTTCTCAATTATCTCCCAGGGCAGAGGGGAGGAAGCCAGGATGCATTGTGGGAATATACTGTGACTGTGTGTCCTATTTGTATACTTGTCTGTCCCTTGTCACAGTCTCTCATTTGGTCCCCTAGGGGAGTGTCCACCAGGTGGGAGACCTGCATAAAAGCCGGGCAGGTAGCCCTCATTAAACAGACCACTGCTTGACCATCAACACGGAGCCTTGTCTCGTCTTTGGGGGGATTTACTGTATGCTGCTAAGGACTGATTGCCAGGAGTGTAAGCCGCTTGGGAGCTTTTCCTGTTCGTCTGGTAGCAGCAATTTGTATGGTTCCTGTTCGTGTATTTGGAGTGCTACCTTATTCCCTTGTATGCCGTTCGGGAGTTTGGAGCATTCACTTGTATGCAGTTCGAGTGTTTGGACCATTCCCTTGTATGCAGTTCGAATGTTTGGAGCATTCCCTTGTATGCCGTTCGGGAGTTTGGAGCATTCCCTTGTATTCAGTTCGTGAGTTTTGGTGATTCTACAGTAGCTGTGCCTGTCTCTGAAAGGGGATTATCATCTAAGCGTTTTTTTTCCCTTTTGTGCAAAACGGTCCGTTACAATTGGTGGCAAGCGGTGGGATCGTTCCCACAGACTACAGGACAGCTACAGGCAACACCATTCCGTGGATTTACAATTTGAGGGCAACGCATGCCTGAGTACAGCGACCCTGACAGCAACAGAATGGAACCAGCAGTGTCATACGAGGAGGAGGACCTGGATGGCCGGGATGCATTAAGGAAAGGCATCTGGTACCAGGCCCTGGATAATGTACAGTACCAGCGGGGTGAGAGTCTCCCCAGTGAAGAGCAGCGGTTGCAGAAGCTAGTGGCCCTGCGGATGCCCTTCCTGGGAGAGCAGCCCCTAGATGAATGGGTGAAGGAATTGGAGCACCGGGTATGGCAGGAGATTTGGCTGGAAGATGCCTACCAGGCGCTCTGGAGGTATGGGGCACAGTACCTGCCCTGGACAGCCGAGCATGACAAGCCAGAGGGAGAGGAGTTTGATGGTCCTGGCTTGTTATGGGAGGCTTTTCCAGAGCCTGAATTTGGGAGCCCTACACAAGCCCGGTTCAGTGATCTCTTGGAGTGGAGGGAGAGCAGGTATGACTGGGACGACACTCACGACATTAAGCAAGACCTGGTTCACCTAGCAACCCTGGAGTGGGAACTGGAGCAGGACTACCGAGATCTCTTCCACTACATTGAGAAGATTCAGCAGGACAGCAAGGTGACAGATCCAGTTCCAGACCCATTCAGCTGCGAAGACATTGTTGATATTTTCTGGGAAGAACCCCAGGTGGCCGGTAGAGATGGGACCGAGGTCTCTCCACCGGTCCTGCAGGGAATTGGGAGCACAGTCTCCATTCCCCAGCGGCCGTGTGATTTATTGGGAATTGGGAGCCCAGTCTCCATTCCCCAGCGGCAGTGTAAAGTGCAGGGAGAGGAGAGCAGCGTCCTCCCTCCCCAGCGGCAGGCTGAGTTACAGGGGGCAGAGGTAGTTTTTCCTGTCCCCCAGCAGCCAAGTGATATGCCGGGAAGGCAGTGTAAAGTGCAGGGAGAGGAGAGCAGCGTCCTCCCTCCCCAGCGGCAGGCTGAGTTACAGGGGGCAGAGGTAGTTGTTCCTGCCTCCCAGCAGCCAAGTGATATGCCGGGAAGGCAGTGTGAAGTCCAGGGAGAGGAGAGCAGTGTCCTCCATCCCCAGCGGCAGCGTGATTTTTTGGGAATTGGGAGCCCAGTCTCCATTCCCCAGCGGGAGATAAAACAGGGAATTGGGAGCCCAGTCTCCATTCCCCAGTGGCAGTGTGATGTGCCGGGAATTGGGAGCCCAGTCTCCATTCCCCAGCGGCAATGTGATGTGCCGGGAATTGGGAGACCAGTCTCCATTCCCCAGCGGCAGAGTGTCCTACTGGGAATAGAGAGCCCAGTCTCCTTTCCCCAGCAGCAGGACTCTGTATTGGGAGCAGAGACAGTCGGTCTCCCTCCCCCGCGGCTGGAAGTATATATGGGAGAGGAGCTTGTTACCCCCTCTCCCCAGCGGCAGTTTAATGTACCCAGGGGAGACAGTATTTATTTTATTTAGTTTTGTAAAATGCTTCCAAAATTAAACAGAATAACAAAATAAAAAATAACAATAATAAACAATCAACTGAAATAATACCCAATTCAAACATAATACCAAATGAAACATAAATACCCCAAAATTAAACATAAATACCGAAATAAAAACTCAGGAAGGGGCACTAATAGGGGAGTAAACTTATACCAAATTAAATAACTGGGAATAACAGGGAGAGGGATTAACAGAAAAGGGGGGGGAACTAAATCATAAGGGGATAAATTAAAAGGCGGGGGGCTCCATTACTTCATGGAGCCTTGGGGAGGGAGAAAAAAGGCTGAAATGCTCCTGAAGGAGCTCTTACATAACAAGGGGGGGACAAGGGGGGACCCAATTGACCTCGAGTCCACAGCCAGCTAAACACAAACATAAACCAAGCGTGAAATAAAACACACACATAAACATAAACAAACCCATTACCCACATGGAGTCCTTTTCTCAGTTCATAAAACCCACCAACCACATGGAGTCCATCCCTCCGTCCATCAACACCAACCCACCACCTACACTTTAAACCCAAACTTTAAACCCAAACCCACCACCCAAATGGAGTCCATTTTCAATTCATAAAACCTACCACCCTCATGGAGTCTATCCCTCCGTCCATCCCCCAAACCCACCACCCAAATGGAGTCCTTTTCTCAGTTCATCACATCCAAACCCACCACCCACATGAAATCAAAATTTTGTCCATAGACCCACCACCCACATGAAATCCAGTTTGTACACCACCCTCAAGGAGTCCATCCCTCCGTCCATAAAGAAACCCAGTGGTTTTTGTTTTTTTTTTCTTTCCCCACCCAAAGTAAATTTTTCAATTTGTCCATACACCAGAAACCCACCCTAACCCAAACAATACCAAAAATAACCTGTGCATAACCATACCCATAACCTAACTACACTGCACTACCTAGACGCAGAGGAAGGTACTCGTCTGCTAAAGGTGGCAGCCTTCCATGAAAAGAAAAACCAGTTCAAAATCTACGGGGGAAAGGTGAAGACAGATTTGGAATTCCCTTCACCAAGACAAGGGCGCCCATGGAGCGGTTCAAGGCGGGTGGACCTTGAGATTTTGCCACAAACCCTGCCAAATGGTGGGATCCATAGAGGCCCTTTCGGTGGTATAGATCCCACGAACCGCCCTCAGAATGTCTGCTACCACCACCTGACAGGAAAGGTCTTTACGTTGAAGGGAAACCTGACACCTTGCCATCCAAGTGAAATACTTAACCACTGAACTGACTACATAAAGAGTGCCCAAATCAAAAGCCCTCCCCCTTGAGTTGGACGTCCCGTACGCCCACTCCGCATAAGTCCAGCGGGATAAGCAGGGGATGCCTAAGGCGGCTGAGACCTCTTTGTAGACCTGTACGTTAAAGGGGCACTCGAGGAGGAAGTGGTCCATGGACTCCACTTCCCCGGAACATTCCACCCGAGGACAACCACGATCCGTTATGTTCCTGTACTTCAAGTTCCCTCGAACGTAAAGTCTACCGTGGAAGGAGAGAAACGCCACGTCTCGGTATTTCTCCGGAAGGCGCCTGGAGTTGATGTTTTTCAACCCCGAGGCGAGAGTACTTGGCGGGCAGTCCTTCAAAGCAAGCTGAATGCCAAAGTGGGTGGCCAGGACCCTCCCGTCGAGAAGCTTCTTGGGAGTGTCCCGAACCTCCTCCACCGTGACGTTCCACCTGCGCAGAATTCCCACTCCCTCGATGACCGAAGACGGAAGATAGCTAGAATGCCGAACTCTCATGCTCTTCACCCTCCCACCCTGAAACCAGTCCACCAGGAAAGGTGTGACCCACTCCCTGAATATACATACCCAGCCAGGCTGCTCATCCTTCAGGAGAGCCCCAAAGTTCCTTTTCAGGAAGTTGTTAGTTAAAAAGATGATGGGGTTGACCATGGCCAGACCCCGTCCTTTCTGGCCAGGTAAGTGACCTCTCTTTTGATGAGGTTCAGCCTGTTCCCCCACAACATGCGGAAGAACAGCGCAAACATCCGAGCGTGGAGGGACCTGGGCAAAAGGAAGATGTTACTGACGTAGCCGAATACGGTCAGAACATAGGTTTTGATTAGGTTCACCCGTTCTCTGAACGTCAGTTTCCACCTGTGGCTCTCCTCCACCTTGCTAGAAGCTATGGCAAGCCGTTCGGTCCAGTTCCTGAGAGCCAGATCCCCTGGTCCGAACACCACCCCCAAGATCTTAATTTCAGGCTGGGCCCTCGGGAAACCGTCTGGAAGAGGGAACTGGTCCCCCTCCTTCCCGCACCAGAAAACTACGCTCTTGTCCCTGTTGACACGAGAGGCTGAAGCGGCAGAATACGCTAGGATTAAATCATCCACCTCCGTGGCCTCCCGAGTATTGGAGACCACTATGGAGATGTCATCAGCGTAGGCAACAACCCGTAAAGGCCTCTCCGGAGCCCTGGCCACTCCCTGTAACGTGCCTGCCTCGACCCTTCGGATGAAGGGATCGACTGCAAACACGTACAAGAGTGGGCTGAGAGGACAGCCTTGCCTGACCCCGGATCGGATCCTAAACGTCCTGCCCCTCCACCCGTTCACAAGAGCGAAGCTTTCGGCCCCTCTGTACAAGGTGATTATCCAATTGACGAATTTTCCCGGCAAGCCATACTTCCGCAAGACTGACCACAGATAACGGTGATCTACTCGATCAAAAGCTTTGGACTGATCAAGTGCCAGAAGGTATATCCCCCTTTCTCCGTCCCTGCACTTCTCGAGGGCTTCCCTGACTTCGAAAACGGCATCAAAGACAGTTCTGCCCTCGATTGAACAGTACTGGGAGGTGGATAGGACACGCCTCGCTAGGCCCTGTACTCGTTTCATCAAAATCTTTGCCAGGACCTTCCTGTCGACATTTAACAGGGATATGGGGCGCCAGTTCCCCACATCCGCTGTGTCGAGCACGTTCGGCTTGGACAGCAAGATCAGGGCAGAAGTCCTCATCGAGGGTGGCAATAATCCTTGAGCCAAGCTCTCATTAAACACCTCGGTCAGATGAGGGGCCAAGAGGTCGCAGAACTGTTGGTAAAACTCGGCCGTCAGACCATCAGGACCTGGCGACTTACACTTGTTCTGCTGTTGGATACTCTCTGTGACCTCTTCTATGGTGATCTCGCTGACCAACTCGTCAAAAGAGAGGTCGCTATGCTCAGGGAGCGTGAGCTCGCTCAAGAAGTCATCCACCCTTCTCCCGTGGGAGGTTCCCTCCTCGCTACATTGGGGGCTGCCCTTTCCGAGGAGCTCAATGTAGTAGTCGCGGACCACCTTCAGAATCCCGCGAGGAGACTCCTTTAGGGTCCCGTCGGTGCCCCGCAGACTAGGGATGGACTTGGTACCTTCCTTCCGCTTGCAGCTAAGATAAGGATCGGGCGAGCGGTATGACCCATGATCCCTCTCTTTTACAAGGGAGGCGTACCTGTCATACTGATAACTCCTCATCAGGTTTTTAACTGCCGCAATGTCCTCGGGGTCACCTCCCTGCGAGATCAGGATGTCTAACCTCCCAAGCAAGCCCAGATACATCTTGTACCTGGAGGACTGCATGTTCCGGGCGAGATTGCGAAACAGCCGTTGAGTTCTGGCCTTCACCATCTCCCACCACTCAGACTTCGTTTGGCCTAAGTCGGCCAATGTCATCTGATCGTGAAAGAATTCCATGAAGGCTTGCTGAACCCTCTGTTCCACCAGGAGGTCTGAATTTAGCCGCCAGATCCCTCTACCCTTAGGTGGGGTACTATAGACGTTCAACTCGCAAGACAAAATGTGATGGTCGGAGAACTCCACCGGTGTAAGCACGGGTGCCGCCACCGGGAAATTCTCCTTAAAGAAAAACCTATCTATCCTACTCTGACAGCTACCTCTGTGATAAGTGTACCCACCCGTGGGATTGGGAGTGTGATGAAGGTACACATCGACCAATCCAGCCTGACTAACCATCTTATTTAAAAAATAGGAGTCATACCCCAGCCTCTGAGTGGCGTCTCTCCTGTCTTGAGGCCTAGTTATGGTGTTAAAGTCACCGCCAAACAGGATTTGCTGGGATGTATAAAGGTAAGGCTCTATCTCAATAAACAGGCGCTTCCTCTCCCACTTAGATTGGGGGCCATAGATATTAATTATCCTGAAAGGTTGCCTGCCCATTGAGACATCTAAAACCACACACCGTCCTTTTTGCAACTCAATAACCCTGTTGATGCTAACATCAACGTCCTTAAATAGGATGGCGATTCCCCCATATCTCTCTGTGGCTAGAGAGAAGTAGGAGGGCCCCCATCTCCAGTCCCGCTTTGCAGCGTGCAGGGCCGCGAGGGTTTCCAGCCGGGTCTCCTGTACCAAGATGACATTGTACGGAGCCCGGCTGAGGTGGTCGTAAACCAAAAAGCGGGCCCTGCTGGACTTAATGCTGTTTACATTCACCGTAGCCACAGAGAGTACAGGAAAAGTCGCCATAAGGGCATTAAGTATAAGGAGACTTTCCCTTCCTTCTGCGGTACCCCTCCTCCTCCGTGTCGGAACCGAGGAACCTCTTCACTGAGACTCCGGGATACAGTGGCCCGTCGTCTCTCAGAAGCACCTCCTGTCCCACCTCAACCCCTGCCACCACCTCGGGGAGGTTCGCCATCTCCTCCTCGTACTCACAGTCGGCCCAGCTGGAGGACAGTGCCTCGTACCTGTTAGATACGGGCACCGGGGCCTCCTGCAAGCCCGAAGAGGAGGATGACGCCCGTGCCACACCACCCTTATAAGTGGCGTCTCCCCCTTTCGGGGGTTTCGCCGCAGGGGGTATGGCGATCTTCCGGGGTGAGGGCAGCGTCGAGGTCTTGGAGGGGGGGGGTTTCTTACCTTTCACCGTGCTCCACTCTAGGGACTGTGCATCTAAGGGACGTGCATCTGGGGACTTTTCAGTGGGGGTAACCTTCACCGTGGAGAATTTAGGAGGGGGGGGCCTAGGGGGAGGGGGTCTAGGGGGAGCCATAATGGCTGTGGAGGTAGTGCGTTCTCTACGTACACTTTTCGTGAGGGGACGTGAACTTGTGGCCTTCCCAGGGTCCTGAGATGTTACAGAGACCGAGGGGAGGATGGGTTGTTGCTGGGGCAGGGAAACCCCTGTGCCAGAGATGGGCCTTGTAGATGACGATGCTACCTGAACCCTTAACCCAGCAGAGTCCATCTCCACCGGCTCCTGACTCCAGATGGACTCTACATTGTGCTGGGCTTCGGGGCAGGTGCGGTACGTGTGACCCATCTCTGAACACAGATGACATCGGATCTCCCTGCAGCTGTCCCGGAGGTGCCCCACAGCGCCGCACATAGTGCATTTGAGGACCGTACAGGCATTGCTGTAATGCCTGTACGATCCGCACTTGTGACATACCCTGGGCTGACCAGGGTAAAAACAGGATACCCGGTCAGCCCCGATGAAAAAACTATTAGGCATATGCTGTGTGACACCTCGAATCTCCCTCAGCAACACTGAAACAGTCCATCCGCCTGTCCAAATCCCATCCTCATCTAAGATCTTAACAGGGGGGGATTTAACATCCCCAAACCTCTTAGTCCAAACAAGGATGTCTGCTATGGGGATGGATTCATTTCTCACCAGGAAAGTGACCTTCTTAAGACCCTGGCGAGAAATGGCCACAGCGGTGAATCCTGCCCACTTTGTACCCTGTGCAGACCTGGCCGCTTCCCACCCAGCCCAGAAGCGATCCAGGAGCTGCGACGTCATAAAGGAGACGTCGAACTCTCGGGTGCCCGAGGCATGGATGAGCGCGTACAGGTCCACGGGCGCAAATCCCATATCCTTTAGCCGGGTCACCAGCCACCGTCTGTCAGGCACCTGGGTCTCACCCCCACAGATGAGCCGTACCACGTTCCTCCTGTTCCCAAAGGAAACCTGAGGACGCGTAGCAGGCCCGTCCGCAGAGAGGCGAGGTGGCCCAGATGCCCAAGCATTGGGCGCACCGGGACCCGCCGTCTGGGAATGATTCGGACGGACTCCCCTCGCTGAACCAGAGGCCTCGGTCACACCAGAACCCTGGGTGACAACCTGGGAGTGCCTAAGGGGAACCCGTGTACCTGCTTGTGCGTCTAAACTATTTATAACCGCGGCACCCTTTGTCAGGGTGCCTGTGCCCGTGCTCGTGCCCGCCACCTGTGTACCAACTAACTCCAGTGAACCAGGGGCAGGGGCAACATAACCTGAGTCGGGGGCAACATAACCAGGGGCAGGGGAAACAGTACCAGGGGCAGGGGCAATAGTACAGGGGGCGGGGCAACATAACCAGAGGCAGGGGCAACAACACCAGGGGCAATAGTACCGGGGGCAGGGGCAACAACACCAGGGGCAGGGGTAACAACACCAGGGGCAGGGGCAACATCATTAATACAAACAGACTGGCTGTGGACCTTTTTACTAAGGCCAATAGGTCCCATCATTACATTTACAGTTACATCCATACTCCCATCCTCCTCAGCCATCCCTAAACCACCAGTGGAGTCAAACACAATGTTAGTCATACTTTTCTTACCTCCACTGGCGGTTTCCTCAGTATGGACTGCTGACTGAGGATGATGGGAGTCCCCTGCAGTCCTGTCTTCCATAGCGCCAGCGGCACCCGCGGCACCCGGGGCACCAGGAACAACAGGAACAACAGGAACAACAGGGGGACTGGTTACACATGCAGACATAAGGGGAACACATAGGGAAGCAGGGGGAACAGACTGGAAGACAAACTTGGACACATCCAGGGAAACAGACTGGGGGACAAACAGGGGAGGAGACTTGCTGGTAGGGGAGAGCAGTCGAGCTTGCTCCAAGGGAGCAGAGGGAAAAGGAGGGCCATCACCCTGCTCCAGACTGCTCCATCCAGTGCCATCCTGCCCAGCAGCCGCCTGAGGACAGGAGGCAGAGGTACCAGCCACTCCAGGGGACGCAACCACACGGAGAGGAAGGTCAGAGGGAAGGCAGGTAAGGGAGGGAGTGGGAAGGGAGCAAGGGAAGGACCCCTCCATGGGATCACCGGTACACGCCATAGTACCGGCGGGGATGGTCTCCCTGTCACCATGGAGGGCGGCGGGGGGCCCAGATACTTCCACAGAGGCAGGTTGTGCAGGTTTCTGGGGCATACAGGTGTTGCCATCTGCAGGGTTAGTATCCCTGGCCCCAGGCTTCTGCAAGGCCTGAACATCATCATTGTACATATACTCAGCATTTGAGCACTCACCCTCCTCTGTGGAATCTCCAGACCCCCTGACAGAGGTCTCAGGCTGACGCCGGGCGATGTTTTTCTTTTTCTTCTTTTTCTTCTTTTTGTCCTTTACGGAGTCCTCCCCAAGTTCATTTCCAAACTTGAGGAGAGACTCCTTAATCAGCCCTCGACCTCTGTCCTGCACTTTCAGCTGCCACTCTTCACCTTTCTCTCCGTCCCACTCCTCTTCACTGTCCTTCTCTCTGGCCTTCCCTTCCGTCTCAGCAGCGCCCCCTGGAGTAGCAAGGGCAGAGGTAGACGGCTCCCCAGGTGAGTGATGGGAGTTGGAATCCAAGTCCTTGCTGGACTCCTCACCTGGGGACATGTCCCTCCTGCGGAACATGTCCCTCCATAGCCCTCTGCCTCCTGGACCTCGCAGCGTCCTTGGCTCTCTGTTGCAGGATGGCCTGGATGTCTGCTATTTTCTTTTCAGTCTGGAGCAGGGTGTAGGATAGATGCTGCTCCACTAATTTTTTCTCAGCTATAGCGGCCCTCAAAGGACCTCTTTTGTAATTAGAGGTCCTGTTTGATTTTTCCCTCTGCTCCCTTAGCTCTGCCTGGACCCCAGCTAGGCCCGAGTCTGCCTCGGCATGCTGGGCCTTCAGGGACACAAGCAGACCCCGGAGCCTGTCAGAAGGTAGCCCCATAAAGACCCTAGCCTCAACCCCCTTTTGCAGCCTCAGCATAGGTGAGGGAGGCCTGAGGGGCCTTGCTGGCACTAGCCACCTCAGGGGGGGTCTCAGGGACTACCTCCTCCTCGGTACCCTCTCCCACCTCCAGGGACGGGGGGGGCTGTTCTAGGAAGTGGAGGCCACTGCTGGCAAGTTCACGGCACTCAGCCAGCAGCCCAGAGAGCAGCTGGATATCGGCCCTGGTGTGGGCCGTAGCTCCCTGGGGGACCCCCACTTCCCTTTTCCATGCAGTAAGCTTCCTAGACATCCCCCCCGCCAGTTCCTCCAACAGGGAGACCTGGTTTCGTATTTGCCGGGAGAGGGCCTGATGCTCAGTCCAAGACAGGCCCCTGGTATCCGCATTACCTTCCCCAAAAGCCAGCACTGCCTGCAGCTCGTCCAGCCTGACCTTCCATCCCCAGGCTGGGGAGGAAGGCCCGAGGGCCATGCTTGCCTAGGCCCATGCAGAGCCCCTTGCTGTAGTAATTCCAAAGCCCAGAAATCGAGCTCCAAAGCAGCCACAAACGGGTGTGGTCCTGGGAACACACAGATGAAGCACAGAGCAGCTCCCTCTCCAGCAGTAACGGCAAACTCCTCCCACTCCAGTGGGAGGGGAGACAGTAAGCCCCACAACTGTGCAGATGGGACCGTAGTCTCTACACTGCCAGCACAGGGGGTAGGGACGATCGGTTCTGCCCCCCAGCGACAGGGCTGTTTAGCCAAAGGGGAGACAGTCGGTCTCCAGCAGCAGAGCTGTGTGTCCAAAGGGGAGACAGTCGGTCTCCAGCAGCAGGACTGTGTATCTAAAGGGGAGACAGTCGGTCTCCAGCAGCAGAGCGGTGTATTTAAAGGGGAGACAGTCGGTCTCCCCCTCCAACAACCAGGCTTCAACCAGGCTACCCTCCCAGTAGCGCTGGCAACAGGGCAGAGTGCCGCTGGTCTCTGCCCACGCAGCACCCCACCAAGTCAGCGTACCCGTACCCAGCACAGCCGTGGTGAGGCACCTGGACATGGACAAGCTTCTCCTCTACCCAGGTGCAGTAACCATTTATTGTGGGTGGGCTGTGCTGTTGATTATGTTTTGTGGGTGGGCTGCTGGACTAACAAGGGCACTGACCGGCAGGAGGTCAGATACCCTGTTAGTCTGTTTGGTCTCGTCACATCTCTCCCCTTTTCCAATCTCGCCACATTGCTTTGGAGAAGCCTGGTTGCTCGCCTGCTGCCTTTGGACTATGGCCCCCTTTTAAAAGACATCTTTTTACCTGCAGAAAAGCTTCATTCGTGCTTTTCTGCCTGGGGTTCGGTAGATTCAATCTACCGAACAACCGTACGAATGACTGGACCACCTGGGAGCTGGAGTGTGCCGGCAATTAACCTCCCTGAAGCTGCGGTTAACCGCAGCTTAATTGACGAATGCTGGGTGGCCGCCATTTGTATCCCAAACACGGGGTCGCGGCCATTTTAAACATACGAATGCACAGCGGTGTTCGCCCTTATTTTCATGGAACTAAAATCGGACACAGTTTTGCGCGAACACCGCTGAAGCCGCCGACCTCCCTTCTTGTTCGGTGGAAGTGCACGAACGGCCCGGTGTTCGGTAGTTCTGTTTGAATAGGTTATACCCCAGATAGGAATCCCATGGAGCCCATTCGTATGAAACTGACTGTAAAGACTTTGGCTCCATGGCGATTAAACTGTATTCGTGTGGTCTGAGTGCCATTCACCTAATAATGTGCACTCAGACCTGAGCTATCTGGGGATATGTTACATGTCTGTGTTTTATGTAATAAATGTTACTTTATGTATTTTAAAGTATAATACTGGTTTTGTGTCCCCACATGTGTAATGGAGTTTTGCCTTTGTCTTGGGAGATAATTGAGTTACTTCTCAATTATCTCCCAGGGCAGAGGGGAGGAAGCCAGGATGCATTGTGGGAATATACTGTGACTGTGTGTCCTATTTGTCTACTTGTCTGTCCCTTGTCACAGTCTCCCATTTGGTCCCCTAGGGGAGTGTCCACCAGGTGGGAGACCTGCATAAAAGCCGGGCAGGTAGCCCTCATTAAACAGACCACTGCTTGACCCTCAACACGGAGCCTTGTCTCGTCTTTGGGGGGATTTACTGTATGCTGCTAAGGACTGATTGCCAGGAGTGTAAGCCGCTTGGGAGCTTTTCCTGTTCGTCTGGTAGCAGCAATTCGTATGGTTCCTGTTTGTGTATTTGGAGTGCTACCTTATTCCCTTGTATGCCGTTCGGGAGTTTGGAGCATTCCCTTGTATGCAGTTCGAGTGTTTGGAGCATTCCCTTGTATGCCGTTCGGGAGTTTGGAGCATTCACCTGTATTCAGTTCGTGAGTTTTGGTGATTCTACAGTAGCTGTGCCTGTCTCTGAAAGGGGATTATCGTCTAAGCGTTTTTTTTCCCTTTTGTGCAAAACAGTCTATTGGCAGATCCCCCTGGCCGAGGATACTATCCCTAAGTCAGCATTCGTCATCCCCATTTGGCCTGTACCAGTTTAAGGTCATGCCATTTGAGATGAAGAATGCTCCGGCTACCTTCCAGCGTATGGTGGATAGTCTTCTCGATGGCTTCCAGGAATTTGCGTGTGCATACCTGGATGACATTGCGCTCTACAGTGAGTCTTGGGAAGAACACCCGGTGCGTGTAGTGGTGGTTCTGGACAAGATTCGGGCCGCCGGCCTGACCTTGAAACCAGACAAGTGCCATCTAGGCATGGCAGAAGTCCAGTACCTGGGTCACAGAGTAGTGTTGATGAGCCAGAGACCAGAGCCAGCCAAGGTAGAGGCAGTGGCTAACTGGCCCACATCTATCACAAAGACCCAGGTGCTGGCCTTCCTGGGGACAGCAGGGTTCTACCGACGTTTTGTCCCGGATTACAGTACTATTGCCAAACCCCTGACTGACCTGACGAAAAAGAATCTACCTAAGCAGGTCCTGTGGTCTCCAGCTTGTGAAGCCGCGTTTCAGGCACTGAAGCAAGCTCTTGTGAATGCCCCTGTCCTGGCTGCCCCAGTCCCTAACAAACATTTTCTCGTTCATACAGATGATTCCATGTATGGACTGGGGGCTGTGCTGATCCAGGTCGGGGAAGATGGAGGAGAGCTCCCTGGCAGTGAAAAAGGAGTGTTTAGCCCTGGTCTGGGCATTAAAGAAGTTGAGCCCCTATTTATACGGACAGGAGTTCTCTCTTATAACAGACCACAATCCCCTTCTCTGGCTTAACCTGGTCTCCGGAGACAATGGTAGACTGCTGCGGTGGAGTTTAGCTTTACAACCCTATAACTTCACCATCAGCTACCGACCCGATAAACCCCGGATTGTCCCGGCAAACCGACGTCCCTACCACTTCCTTGTCCGGTCATCCCCAAGTTGACCCGCCAAAGGGTCAAGCCGGGTCTGCCGGAGTGTTCCACAAGGGGGGAGCCATGTGACAGATCCATCTGTATAGACTAAGATTGCTGGTTCGTCTGTTTTGCCTCTTTTCGTGGAATTGCCTGTCCGTATGCCCCTGTTCGTTTATTTGACTTTTTTTACCGAATGAACTTACCGAACGGACGGCCACCCAGAAGAGAAGTGTGCTGCTGGTTAACCTCTTGATCCCAATTAGAATGTTGTGGTTAACCGCAGACACCTCTTAAATATAAGCGAATACAGGGTGGTTGTCGTTCGTATGTTGACCACGAGGCGGAGGCCATTTTAAACCATGCGAAAGACCAGCAGTGTTCGGCACAGATTCTATGGAACTAAAAAACAGATTTTTGCCTATTGCTGTAATTTGGGCGATTCTTTTATTGTGTGGGGTGTTTTTACATGCTTTCCCCGGCTTGGGGTTCTCTTTGTGGGCTTTTCCGCAGGCTTGGGGGACTGGGGTGGCTTCTGTTCCGCCTACCCCCTCTCTCTCTCTACCCTTTGGGCCTGCTTTCTCCATCCTAGCTTTCTCCATCCTTGCTTTCCCCCCCTCGCTCGTGTTTCTAGCGGTCGCCGGGGAGTGGTCCTCCGACCGCCTCCCGTTGCCGACCGCCAGGATCGCGGAGTACGACTCCGATGGCCCCACTTGTTGGCCCCCACCCGCTGAGCGGGAGCCGTCTCTTGTTTCTCTCACCCTGCCCAAGCTTCCGCTCCTGGTGTCGGATTTCCCGCGGCTTTGAGGGGCGTGGGTGGGGGTGAGAGGGATAGCTGGCCACGTGGGAGCTGCTGCTCCCGGCCTCCGGGCACTCACCTCCCTGCGACCTCGTGGTCGTGCTGGGGGGTGTCGGCTCAGTGCCTGTCTTGCTGCAGATAGTGTTTACATTATTATTTAAAGGCATATTTTCAAATGTTATTTGATGCAAGTTTTTTCTGTTGCAATAAAGATCATATAAGGGTTCTGTTTGTACCTATTTCATTCTACATGTATTTTCCCCATATGTTGGCTTAATGCCAATTCTGTGGACCCTATTCACTAATTTCTGCATGTCTATATGCCTACACTCAGTATGTGACCTGCACGCACTGATTGCCCTGCCTTGGCTGTACCACATTATCTGGCCTGCATTGTCTGTGCCCCTTTGATTGGCCTGCTTTGACTGTGCCCCCTGATTTGGCCTGCACTGTCTGTGCCATTCTCTGTGTACGCCTGGCCTGGCGGCTCCATACTCTGGGCCCTCCTTGGC